CCCCAGTGTTAACACTTGTTACTGCATTACACAACCGCATGCTAAATTTAAGGAAACAAGGAAAAAATCACTCTCAGGGGCTGGTTTTCAGCCTGAAGGTTATGATGCATTTAGAGGGGGTGCAGCATCTGTTTACTGGGTCAGGCATAGGAAAGAAAGAAAAGTGCATCACAAGTAATACGGTGTTAGGTTTTACCTTGGATTACTTTGGAAACCTTTGTTGTGGTTTTACATCTTCCTATTAGTGTGTGTACTAGATTGTATTGTGAAGTACATTTTTGTGGGACTGTATTGGAAAAGTTTGAAACTAATTGGTCTGAAAAGTAATGTGCCCCAAATTTACAGGATTTGTAGACCTCCACCATCATGTTACATTCACAAAGGGGTCTTGCTTCCTAAAGCGATTTGGGGCTGAGAACATTCAATATGATCAGGAATAGTAGCTACTAAACTCCCATGAATTCTAAAGGCTGCCTTATGTCTAAGAATGATTAAAATTATTTTTATTTTGATGTCTTTTCAGCATCAACTAAAACCTAAATTATTAGATAGGAAATGCAATGAGTAAGAAGAGAAAGGCTGGTTAAGTTTACTTATTGTTACTTGACAATAGCTTCTTACAGTAGTTAATATTTTGAATCTTAATACTACTAAGGTTTTTTTTCCTTCACTTTTAAAAGATTTATGGTATTCTTTACTATCATTTTATATGCATTCTTTGGGCAAAGTATTGTTTCATTTTGTTTTTTTTCTAGAGGAATACATTTCCAATTTGGTCAAACTGTGATGGAAGGAATGCTTTATTTGTGGAAATTTTACCAAAAGTACTGTTCTGTTGAATAAGGGTTGGAGATAAACATTCACACTCACCCACAGACAGGCATATACTCAGATACAATTTATTTATTTTGTGACTGTTATTTTATGTCCCTTCTTTTAGATAAAGAAATAGAGGCACACATTGGTGAAATAATTTGCCTGGAGTTATACAGTAAGCTAGTGGCCTTCATAGTGATCATTCATAGTTCTTCTTTTTCCAAAGATACTATATGTAGATCAAGTTGAAATAAACATAAGCCTAAATATTATAAATATACATACAGGTGTGTATAGATAAGAAGTATTTATGTAAGCAAAAAGACATGGTGGGAAATAGTAATTATAATTATATTAAGTTCTTGTGCAATCTTTATCTAGATGTGTTTGTCTGTGGTCATGACCTACTATACGATTTTAGTTTGTCATGAACTGTACCGTATAACCAAGATATATTTTGCCAAGAATATAAATTATGAAAGAAAACTCTAGGATGGCACTGGATTGTAATGTGTTCAGTGATCCTCAGCCCATGAACACTTAGAATGAAGAATTTAAATAGTACTGAGAACTGATTCTGGAGTCTTGGGTTCCTAGTCTCTGCTCTGGCACAAACCTCTTTAGATGAGCTTAGGCACATGATTTCACTTTGGGGCCTGTGTTTTTAAAGTGGAAATGTGGGCTTGATGTCTAAAGTTCTCTTTAGCACTTAGATTGTATGCTTCCCAAGGGCCTGGAGTATTGCATCAGGACCAAGCCTGGGGTTTGTGCTGGTTGCAAGGCCCCAAGGAGCTGCCTCATCCTTTTTTCCAAGGAGGTAGCATGTACTCCCCCACTGAGCCCGATAATACAGTGAGCTGACAGCATTGTGAGGTGCTTCTTCATTGGGGACTGAGCCTAGGTTGTTTGTAGTAACCTGGAAGGACCTTGGAATGAGGCCAGGAGATAGTTTCTGTGACCAATTAGTTGCCTACTCAAAAAGCTTGCTAGGACCCATCCAAGTACACTATCACTCTGTCTTTGCCGTATGAGAATACAGAAATGTCTCCTCTTAAGGAGATACATTCAAGGACTTAGAATTCAAGGAGGCCCATTATCTTCTCATAGCAATTAGCAAGAATATATATTCTTGCCGAGTATAATTTTATAAATTTTAGCAAGGAATGCCTTTGTATCTTAATAGGCTTTTAAAAACTTGAAGTAGTTTGCATTTGCTGATTCTTTGCTCTCTCCTTCACACTAATTACATTTTTTTGTTGTTCAGTGCTATGAAGAGTTTATAGTATCTACACTCATAGGTATTCTCTATTTTTTGTGTAAATTTGTATCACCAAAGGAAAAGCTGATCTGAATGATTGTTCATCTATCATCCTGTTAATACACACTGTTTGATCACAGCTTTAACACTAGATTGTTTATAGTGATGGAAATCAAGACATACTTTTGATGATGATAGACTCCTGGTTTTTCCCAGGTCTTCACAGGCACTGCCACTGCCAGTTGCTATGCAGGATTGAGGTTGTTGATAGCAACAGTGGGCTCTGGGGAATGGCCACCAGAAACTATGAGGGGTTGTGGATAAGCAGTGTTTCCATGGACAGCCCTCTAGGGTACCCAATACTTGCCTAATGTTAATTACCTTATACTGCAGCCTGATTGTTAAGGGTGTGTTTTCAACAAACATTTGTTGAGTACCTGTCCTCCTCAGCATGCATGTTCCTACTAGAACTTTGCATGTAGATATCCAACGGGAACAAAACTCAAACCTGTATCATCTTTTTCTCAAAATCTCTTTGACTTCCCTCAGCTTCCCTTCTTCTAGTCTACCATGGTTAACGCTGACACTGCTTAGCTGGGCTCTCAAATGGGAACTTAAAGATTTGGAATTATCTGCACTCTTCCCACTCCATATATTGAATGAGTTGTCAAACCCTCTTTGTTTTACCTCCAAAAATGTTCTTCAGCCATACTCTTTTCCATCCTAACATCAGGCTATTTAGGGTCAAACCCAGTCAGTGTATTTTTTCCCTGGACAATTTTTGTAATCCTCTTAACTAAAATTTTTGTCTCTAATCTCCGTCTTCCTTTTATTCATCTCCCAAGTTAGCTTAAACATTTTTTACTTTTCTGATTAACAATCCATTCCTTTTGTTTAATTGTTATTGTTCTGCATTTTGCCTTTTGTTTTTTGTTAGTTAACATTATGTTCTGGAAAGATTTTCATGTAGATCATTTAGATCTATCCTTGTTTTAATGTGCATATGTAAAATGTGTGTATTATCATTTATTTCACCATTCCTCTCTGAATGGACATTTATGTTATTTGTATTTTGCTGCTACAAAAAATACCGAAATGAACGTCCTTGAACATGCCTCACTGTGCACATATGGAAGTATGTAGATAGCAAAAAGTGCGATTTCTGGGCCAACAATGGATATACATTTAAAATGTTAATAGATACTGACAGATCACTTTACAAAAAGCACCTATCAGTTTACACTTCCACTGTGCTTTTTTTTTTTTAAGATCGTTTTTAATCTGGACCTAGTGTGTGTGCTTCTCCTAGCCTCAGTTCTCTGATGGATGTGTTCACTAATTTACTCAGTCACTGTCAGCCAGTAAGTTTGTATTCACTGCAAATAGTGTGCTAGGCAGTCTGCTGTATGTTGGGGATTTAGCACTGGGTAAGAAAGATATGGCCCTGCCCTCACCTAGCCTGTGCTATTACTATACAGACCTTTTTGCCATTCCCAGGCTTTATTTATGCGTTTGCAGTTACTATTCTCTCTTCCTGGTATGGCTTTTTTTTTTCCTTTTAACTTTTCTGTGGAGAGAATTTTCTTTGATCATTCTTTTCCTTTTAACCCTGTCTTCCCCAACTCCCCTCTGGTAGGAGTTAGGTAGGCCTTCCTTAGCAACCTCTCTGCACACTTCACTTAGTCCTTTTTGTAGTGTTTATCCTGAAGAGTTTTAATTACTCGTTTACATATGTGTGTGCCTGTGTATGTCTGCATGTGTATGCAAACACACATAAATTGTCCCATTAGAGTGTAAGCTCAGTAAATGACATTACCTTAATACTTCCCCCAGCTTTAAGCTGTGAACACTGGAAATGCTTAATAAATGCTGGATAAGTAAATGATTAACAAACTCTCAGATGAACTTGCTGTATTTGAGGCACTATGGGGGCTTGCAAATAGTCTGTCTTCAAGGTCCTACATGTAGTCAGGAAGATAAGAAACAGATGAGTACAGACTGCAGGTCACATGGTGATAAGCTCTGTGTAGAGGCATAAATGAATACTTGAAGACAATTTAATGGGAGAGATGAATTGTCATGAGTGGGATATTCTGATTAATTTTCAGCTGAGAGTATTTTTTCTTGTTTGTGCCAGGTATTATGAGGGATACATATAACGGTAAGATATGGTCCCTGGCTCTCAGAGTTTTTTAGTCGTATAGGGCTTTAGAGCAGAGATACGGCCTATGGCCCAAATCTGGTCTGCTGCCTGGTTATGTACAACCCTCAGCTAAGAACGATATTTTACACTTTAAAAATTATTTTTATAAGAAGATATTTTATGAGATGTGAAATTATATGAAATTCAGATTTTAGCATCTATAATTAAGTTTTGTTGTCACACAGCCACACTCATTTGTTTACCCACAACCTATGACTGTGCTTGTGCTACAACAGCAGAGTTGAATAGTTATAATATAGACCATTTTGCTTGTAATGTCTGAAATATTTACTCTCTGGCCTTTAACAGAAATTGTCTCTGGCCCCTGGGTTAGAGTATGGGAATGATTCAAATAAAGTAGAGAAGGAGAGAAATTCATATTGAAAGGATTAATTTGAGTTGAAAGAGTGGGACAATGAGTACTGTAGTCATATAGAACCTTTAGAGCTGAAATGATGATCTAGCTTATTCACCTCTTATTTTACAGAATAGGCAGAAGATCAAAAGTGGTGTCGAAGTCCACATAATTCATAAGGGGCTGTGTACACTGGAGTGACTGGAACAGACGCTTTGAGGACTTCAGGGGATGATAAGATTATTGCCGGAGTAGGGCCAGATCATGAAGGGCTTTGCCCTTGAAAAATAAGAGTTGATGATCAAATTAAGAACAGACTTCCTTTCTTTCTCTGAATGTAGTATTTCTTTTTTCTCTTATATTTCTAGAAGGCCTTTGAGCCCTACTTGGAGATTTTGGAAGTATATTCCACAAAGGCCAAGAATTATGTAAATGGACATTGCACGAAGTATGAGCCCTGGCAGCTAATCGCATGGAGTGTTGTGTGGACCCTGTTGATACTCTGGGTATATGAGTTTGTCTTCCAGTCAGAGAGTAAGTATACTGTCCCCTCTACAAAGGTATAGTTTCTTTAGCTTTGGGACTCATGGCTGATGGATTATAATTATTTTTTGCCATTTGGTTTGATTGGGATGATTTTTGAAATCTGTTTAAATGGAAAGCAGGGACATTATCTTCTGACTGGTAAAGTTATAATAGGACTCTTACGTAACTATTTCTGCTTTTGTTGATTTTTCTGGATATGCAGCTTATGTAAAAACTCCAGAGAAATTGGTCATTGAAAGGATCCGCGGATATCTCAGAGCATGGCTTAAACCTTCTTCAGTTTCAATTTCTTGCCTAGAACATAATTTTGTCACCTGACATTCCCCAAGCAGGAATTCATAGCTCTCATTAGGCCATCCTTTTAATAAAGCTGATGTGTAATTGCAACAGCACTCATGCAGCAACCATTTGCATGTCTGCTGTGTACCAGGCATTGCGCTGGGCTCTTGGTATAGTTCTGTAAGTAATACAGAAGAGTCCCTGTCCTCTTGGAGCTGAACTTCTAGTATCAGGGGACAGTACACTTTGAGCTTCCTGGGCAGGGACTCAGGGAGCCATATTGACATGGGGAAGATGAGGCCACTTGGAGGGAGTGCAGAAGATGGGAGGTCTGTTAGTGATCAGCTTGTAAATTCTCCATCCTTCCTAAGGTCCTGCCCACCTGCCCTCCCCAACTAGAACCTGACCAACCATGTTACCTCCTTCTGAATTATTTTTCCCCACAGGCTGTGCTTGGTAAGTAAATGATAGGAGTGGTGGTGGGTGTTCTGTAATGCTCCCCTGCACCCCTTCCCCACCCTTAGCAGGGAATCTGAATTAGCTTCCTTGGAATAAGAAACCAGTAACATTGAAAGAATTGCTTGCCATTTCCCATTTGTTTAAATTCCTGTTTGCTTCCCTAAAAACATTATTTGAAGGAGTTTTTAAGCTGTACTTTTTCTGCTTTTCTTCCTCTTGCCTCAGAAAAGTCAATTTAGAAGCCAGATTTCTGTTTAATCTCTTTACTATCCAGGTAGCCATTGAGCTGTTCTAATAATATTGCAAAGTTATGGCATAGTAAACATCTCATTTAATTGAAGTGGAAATGAGGTATGATGGCCCTGTCTAAATTTTAGTTCACTCCAGCTTTAAAAACCCAGTCCTCAGTTTCTGCTCCTAGTCCTTGCAAGATTTTTCTCATAAACTATGACAAATTAGACCAACTAACCCTTCTGCTGTATCTGGTCTGTGGTTTGGAAATGGATGCAATCTCTTATCTTTCTGCTCAGGCTTATTCCTTTCCCAGGAAGCATTTGATTCAGTGGTGCCCACCATCCTGTCCCTCCAAGTGAAGTGACCTATTCCAGAGGACTCTGAGGAATAGCAATAAATGTATTTTATTTCTTTTTTTATTGTCATAAAATGTACATTCACATTGTTGTGCAACCATCACTACTATCTATCTCTAGAACTTTGTTATCATCCTAAATTGAAACTCTGTACCCATTAAACAATAACTCCCCATTAGCCCCTCCCCCCAGGTCCTGCCAGCCACTCTTTTTATGTACTTTCCCTTTTAAGATGGTGCATTTGTAAAATCAGATTAAGGTCAGAGATCTTGAGATTTAGAATTCTTTCACTGTGATTGGTATTAGTTTTAGGTATTTACTTCTATTTTCTGTCCTGCCGTTCCCAGTGCCCCTGTGCATTTTTCATAGTTGGTAGCAGAAGCAGTCTCTGAGATCCTTGTACTTACTTTCCTGCCTTTAGTGTTCAAAAAAGAGTACCCTGGCCTCTGAGCATCCCATGAGATAGTAGTACTATGTTAATGGATTGTGGCCACCTAAATATTTGTGAGCTAAACTGCAAGCCATTTCAGTTAATTTTTAATAAATTCTTTTTTACCACAAAAGTAGTACTTGTTCATTGTAGAAAATTAGACAATATAGGTAAACCATAAGAACAAAATAAAATCTTGCTATCTAGAGATAACCACTATTTACATATTGTTAGCTCTTTCTATATGTGAATCAGGTTGAGCCATACAAAAATAGTCTCTGTAGGTCAAAAATTGTTCAAGATAGACAGTTTCATATAGCTTAACACGTATGTATGCACAATGCACTTTTTGTTTTGTAACTTCTAGTTTGACTTTCAGGCAGATAAAAATGTCTTCCCTCCAGAGATTGGAGATAATTTTGATAAAATTACCATTTTTCAGCTCCTTGCTTATGTAGAAGTATTCTATGTATCACTGAACAATTTGGTTATTTTTAGTATATTGCCACATTTTAGACTAGTGATACATTTTTTTGCTGATCTCCAAACTCTGAACACCCTTCTGAGAGGGAGAGGGTAATTATGGAACACACGGTGAATGTGGGAAGGGGAAGGGGAGGAACTGAAAGTGACAGGAGGGTGGGCAGGGGTAAGCAGCGCTCTGAGGTGTTCTCACTTCCTTAACTCTGCTCTGCCCTGTAAGTACTTGTACCGCTACTGCTTGATGTTGACTTTAGCTGTAGTGTTGTCCATAGTTCATCAACAGAAATCAGAATTGTGTTATGGGAGGAGAGGATAAACTCTCCCAGTTTCTAGCCTCAGCGCCTTGGGCAACACCCTTACACTCTTTAGCTTGTTTTCTAACAATGTAATGGACGTAATAATACCCACCTCACTTAGTCATAGGGTAGTAGGAGGATCAAGAGGCATTATTTGTGTGAAAGGAATTTGTGAAGAGCTGTGCATTGTTCTTACACCGGCATTTTGTAAAGAGCTGTGCATTCTTCTTACACTGGCATTTTCTGTTTTATTACCTTAAAACACTGAATTACTTTTTTTCTATACCTCTTGGGGCTTTTACTTGAGAGAATCTTTTTAGGTCATGACCACATGATCTTTTCATTTTTATTTTCTCAATATCTATCCTGTATTTGTTCTTTTTACCCTGTACTATTTTATCTTACAATTTTCACAGAATTAGCCTTTTTTTCCTCTTCCATCTAGTCACATTACTGTACTTTTGGACACTTGATTCAATTTGCTGATTTTTAGACTTCTTTCTACCTCATTAGTTGATTACTCCATCTATTAAGGAAGTGGTTCTGAATCTTTACAACTTTAACATTGTTAGAAATAATCAAATAACAAGCAGCTTAAATATCCAAAACTAAGTTGCACTTATTTGATGGACTATTATGGTAGTATTTGAAAAAGTATTTAGGAAGAATTTTTAATAATGTAGAAAATAAGTGAAAAGGGGGTACAATATTGGATATACAGTAAGTTCTCAGCTACATGTTATAATATGTAGAGCCTAGGACTGAAAGGAAATACCCCAAAATTTAAACAAAAAGTAACTTCAAACAAATGGTTTCAATCCCTTTGTCTTCTTAGTAACCTGGTTTTAGTTCCTCAGTGTGTGTCTTAGTAACCTGGTTTGGTCCCAGACCATTGCAGAGTGTTGATTACAGTGCTAGGCACTATAGGGTAGGTAGAAAGCCGAGATGCAACCTAAGCAAAAACAACTAGCAAGGTGGCAGATAATAAATACCAAAAGAAGGTACAGACACATTCTGTGGTTGTTGAGGGAGAACTCTCCTCTGGCCAGGGAAACTGGAATGCTCCGATCTGGGAATGCAGTAAATGTTCATAGTTTCTGCCTCACATAAAAGCTAGGTCTGTATTACTTATAGACGCATTTGAGATAACTGAAAATTCCTATTGTGCATTTGAAACAGTCCTGGGAGACTAGGACTAGAAAAATTAAGGATTTCTATAAAATCACTGCTCTGTCATTAGCCTTGAGCAAATTATTAATGCTTTGATCCTTAGTTGCCTTTGGATAGAATGTAGTGCCTTCTGTGCCAGCCTCAAAATCTTGTCAGAGTCAGTTGGGATATATTGAATGTGAATTCATTAAAAGGTATAATGATATATTTAGATGCCATTAATTTATAATTATTGCAGTTGACAGGATCAGAATTTCCTACAATATTGAAGGCTTTTTAGGTCCAGAAAATGTTGCTAGGATATGTGTTGCATGAGAGACAGGAGCATAGATCCTGAAAAGCAGCATGGGTTGGTCATTTGTTTTGGGGGAGGAAAGAGAAATGTTGGGCATTGGAAACCTTGGGAAGGTAAAGAACTCTGGATATGTGTGTCATTTGACCCAGCACTTCTGTTTGTGGGAACTTTTCCTAGGTATATTCTCAAGTATGCAGTACATGTTACAAGGTATTTATTTTAGCATGGTTTGCATAGCAAATATCAGGAACAACCCAAGGGTCCATCAGAAACAGGCAGGTTAAATAAGTCATGGTACATCCATGTAATGAATGGAATACTCTGCAGTTATGAAAAGGAATGAGGAATCACCAATCTTTAAGAGAATATTCCTAACTAAAAAAAAAGGCCTAGTATAGTGCTAGAGTGTGCTACCTTTTGTGTAAAAGGGGGGACAAATAAGAAAATGTTTTTATTATTGCTTGTATATGCATAAAAAAATTCCAAAAGGGTATTCTAGAAACTAATTGGAATATTTACTTGGGGGTAGAGGAAGGTTTGGGGGATAGAGGAGAGAGAAACTTTTTAACTCTGTCTGTGGGTGTTAAGAAGGAAACAAATTCTACCTTTGTGATCTGAAGACAAGTGAGATAGCAGAGGATATATTAAATAGTTCATACATTATGACTAGCAGGTTGTGCCCATGGAAATTTATTTGGATAATAGAATGACTTATTTCTTTTAGGTTTATGGTCAAGGTTTAAAAAGAGATGTTTTAAGCTCATCAGGAAGATGCCTCTTATTGGTCGCAAGGTAAGTGGAATCTGTGGAGATCGTCCTCCCTTAACACCTCTCTCTCATGATCATGCCTCTCTGTGTTTATTGAACCTAGTACATAATCTCAAGGGAGAGGGGTGATTTTTGACCCCCACCTCCAAGGAACATTTCACACTGTTTGGAGACACTTGTCATAACTGGAGGAGAGCTCCTGGCATTACTGGGTAGGGACCAGGGATGCTGCTCGATATCCTACAGCACACACAACAGCCCCCACAACGGAGAATTACCTGGCTCAAAATACCAGAAGTGCCAAGTTTGAGACCCTGACTTACCCCCTTCCTCTGACATATTTGACTGAAGGAGAAAGATGTCAGTTAAGGAAAAATTGAAATTAGAAAACTGGCAAGAATGGCATGATGCTTTGGAGCATTTATCAGGGGTGGATGTATACATGGTTTAGATCAGGATTGGCAAACTCCTCTATAAAGGGCTAGATATGAAACATTTTAGGCTTTGCAGGTCGTACTGTGTCTGTTAACTCCTCAACACTCTGCCCTTGTAGACAGGAGAGCAGCGATGGGTAAAGGAAAGAGCCTGGGTCTGTTCCAGTGAAACTTTTCTTTATAAAAACAGACAGACCGGGTTTGGGCTGTAGTTTGCTCATCCCATGTTTAGAAACTTAAAGAGACTGAGCTACTTTTTGTACCTATCTGTGGTATAGTATGTTCCCTTCACTGTATCCTCTGTACCCTCACCCACACTGAGGAGATAAGACAGTCACCTCTGTACCTTTGCCCTGGGTTCTTTATCATGGATGAAGATAAGCAGGGCAGGCCTACTGCAAGCTCTAAGGCAGGCAAATGAGTCCTCATCTCCTTCAGTACCCTGCCCTGCCCCTTAACTTTCCTTCAAGCTTTCTTTTACTCTTGGCTTCCAATTCCCTTTGCCTTTCCCTGGCCAAACCAGAAAAGATGTCATTATCTTTCATCATTGACAAAAAATCCATTCAGCGCACTGTGCTAACTTGCCCAGAACTATGTGCTTTCAGGTTCATTTCCTGAGGGGAAATGGAAGTAATAACTGGGGTGGAGAAGGGGGGTGGAGTAGATAGGCTTTTATTGGACCACAAGTCATATTAAGACCTAAAATTAAATCACCTTTAGTACTTACAGAGTAAGGGGTAGGGGAGAGGGAAGATATGAAGGATGGACTGGATCATAAAGGCTAATAGCATTTCCTCTTATCATTCCCTGTAGTTTTCCTGCCCATATACACACTTTCCTCCTTCAGTTGCAAATTTGGAGACAAATAAATGCTAGGGTTCCAGAATCCATTCTTAAATTCATAAAATAACAGAATTGGAAGTTACTTAGAAATTCTATAAACAACTTTCATTTTTTAGAAGATTTTGAGGCTCAGAGACAAAAGTTAATTGTTTTGAATGAGTGTGTGTATATCCCTCTCTCATTCATTCATTTATATTCACTTCTTCAACACATGTTTATTGGGCACCTTCTCACTGTCAGGGTACTAGTCTGGGTGCCGGAGATACAGTGGTGAACAAGACTAAGCCCTTTGTGGAACTTTTATTTTAGTAGGAAAGATGGAAAATAAATAAATACATAAGAATTTCATTTTGAAATAAATGCTGTGAAGAAATTAAAATGTGGTAGCCTGAGGCAAGAATTGGGGGTGGGGCAGTACTTGTAGTGCTCTACTGTACCTCTCATTACCATTTTTTGTCTGTTTTATTTTATTACAACAGCATGGTCTATGCACGGAAGCTTAGTTTTCAGTTCCTGTTACACAGTTGCCATGGAGCGCAGCATAATTCTTTACTTAGATTTAAAAAAATCTTCGGGTCCATCACATGCCCCGGCACTGCTCAAGAGTGTGCACTCTGTTACCTGCCATTGCCTGTCCATGAGGCTGTTGTAGACATGTTTTAAAGGAGTGGCTTTCCCTGTGCTTTCATTGAGGGCCACAGCTAAGAATATCTGTATTCTAATAATCTACAGCTAGAGATGAGAAGATCTAAATGTTTGAAGTGAAATCTTGGGCATCACATTTTTAACAGAAACTTCGCTGAAAGCATCACTGTAACACACACAGTGACATGTAGCCATTCTTCCTCAAACCTGCTACCCAAGAGTCTCTTACCACATCCCCCCCCCCCCAGTACTTTTCATTACCTGACATGTAATTTATGTCTCTGCTGCTAAAAATAAGCTTTATGAGAACCGGAGTTTTTTTCACTGTGTATTGCCTCAGTTTATTTTGTTCACTATGTATCCCTGGCCCACAGTAGTAGTTCAATAATATTTACTGAGTAAGTGAGTGAATGAAAGAAAATATCTCAGAAGTTGTTGGTATGGGGATGGAAAAGAAATGAGTGTAGTTGATAAATTATGTAGCAGGAAGGACCTAAGCTCTTCTTAGCACTTAACAGTCAAATAATACAAGCTGTCCCCCTCCTGAGGAGATAGAATGCAATGTTCCTGGCACTTGCCAGGATGTCTTGTGCCTGCATGTGAGGAGTTGTGTAGGGCCTCCAGATCCCTGGTGTGCTCTGTGCATGTCTGTTGAAGGAGCTCATTCTCTTGCACAAGCACCAGAATCCCTTTTACTGCGACTTCACCCATTTCCTGGCTACTGTTCATGTACCTTTGTTTCTTTAGCACCCAATCTCTGGGTGTTGCCAGAGCAGGAACAAGGTCCAAGTACTGCTCTTAGGTGCTGACGCTAACAAATGCCTGATGTCAACATGGCAGATAAATCGGTGTGGGGAAAAGGAGTGTATTTTGACCTTCAGAGGGAAGGTCATGGTTGACTTTTCAGACTTCCAAGAGACGATTGCACATGCCAGAAAATAGCTGCACAGTCAAAATGTCACCATCTCTCTTTAAGAAGAAAATATCATCTGTGCTGTGCAGCCCTTGTGCAGTGCCCAGCCTGGAGCAGTTCACTCGATACCATAGCTGGTTCTTTATTCCCTGGACTATATTCTTCTATTTCTCATTAACTTTATTTTCTTTCCTTTGAAGATCCAAGATACGGTGAACAAGACCAAGGAGGATATTTGCAAGAACATGTCATTCCTGAAAGTGGACAAAGAGTATGTGAAAGCCTTGCCCTCTCAAGGTCTGAGCTCATCTGAAGTTCTGGAGAAGCTCAAGGAATACAGCTCTATGGGTATGATTTTTGGCAAAAACATGCTGTCTACTTCTGCAGCATGGCTGGCATAGGTTAAGAATAGTTCATCTTTGGCACTTACAAGTTCAGGAGGGCCACTCCCTATTTCAAAGGCTAAATTTCATATTTAAAAAATTGTATTTATGGATTCATCCTTCTATAAAGCAAACAAATCTCAGAGACAGTAGAAATTGGTTGTTTGGTTTGTAAGCCTGAATAAAACAGATACATTTGTTTTTGAAAAGAGAACATATATAATAAAAATGAAATCTAGATTCATAGAAATTGTGGAAACTGCTTAAAGTTTTGACGAAAGAAAATAAAAAGTCACTATAATTACATCATCAAAAGATAAACACAGAAAAAGTATATATCAAAATGTTAACAGTACTTTTGTGTAATGAGCACACACACACATGCATGAGCACCTAAATGAGAAGGGTAAATACAGCAGGTGGACGAGTACAGCCTATAGCATCAGCCTGGATTCACACCCTGGTTTGGCCACTTAAAGTGTGGCCTTGGATAAGTTATTCAACTTTGTATGCCTCAGTTTCTGTCTTTACAAAATGGGGATAATAATAATAATAGTATTTATCTGGAAGGATGAGTGTAGAGATTAAATGAGATCATATATGGTATATAGTAAGTGCCTAATAAATGTTAACTATTATTAACACAAACACGTATTTGTTACAGATTAAGATCATATTACAAATACTTTTTAAAAATAGACTTTTTCATTTGGTATAAGTTTAGATTTACAGGAAATTTGCAAAGATAATGCAGAGATTTCTCTTATGCCCCTTATCCAACTTTCCAGTGTTAACATATGAAATAACCATAATACATTTGTCATAACTAAAAAATTAACATTGTTGCAATACTATTAACTAAACCACTTATTTAATTCTGTTTCACCAGTTTTTCCACTAATGCCCCTTTTTCTGTTCTAGTATCCAATCCATGATACCACACTACATTTCAACAAATACATTTAAAATTTCTAATTGACTGGTGTTGAGTTTTTGACACTGGATAGTATAAAATTAGGTACAACCCAAGATTTACAGATGATATAAAGTTGGGATTAGTACTGTGAGATGTGTATGTTAAAGATTTCCATGAGTGTGTCTGCTGCTTGCTGCTGCCGTATTACCTCCCCTTCCATTTTTATGTCGCTCCTATTGCCCATACTCTGTAGCAGCAGCCACATTTGTTGCTGTGATGTAGAACGTCACTGGGGAAGCACTTCAGATGGGATGTGGAAAGTCAGACCTTATATTCTGGTCGGGAACCTTCCTCTGAGCATTATCCCAGTGTTGACTGTATTCCTGATCCAGAGAGCTGCAGCATATTCTGCTGGAAGCAGGTGGCTATTTCTATGTAAGTTTCTTTGCCCATCTGAAGGAGGGGCCTCTGAGACCAGGATGCTGAGGTTTCACACCTCATCATGGTTTGTCTAGTCAGGGGCTCAGTTCCCTGGCTGCAAATCCAATGATGCTGTGTGGAAATTTTACACTTTTGTCTTGATCTTTTCTGCCAACTCTGCTCATAACAGTTCCCATGCTTCCTTTGACTCAGTAGGAAGGGAGAGAAGAAATAAGACAGTGCAGGAAAAGGTCAAGCTAAGCCATACAGAGAACAGAAGATGAATATAGCTAAAGGAAGATTTTCCTATTGGTTTGAAGGCAGTTGGGGATGATGACAACATTATTATTGGTCTCATGTATTACTGTGTCTAGATATGTTAATACCTTTTTTATACTGTTAATTGATAGTAATTAATGGTCTTTCATCTTTGATTTGCTGTGAATAGCTCTTTATTTTCTTCATTTAATATAAGAATGCCTTTGGGTTTCTATTCAAAAAATTTTTTTTCTTTTTGTACCCAGAGGGGTTTCTTCCTACCTATTTAATGGAATTTGACTGTCTTTCTAGAGCTTCCTGCTTACTGACCCAACTTTCTCTGCAGATGTCTTATGGCAAAAAGGAAAAGCCTCTGGAGTAGTGTACAGTGGGGATGAAGAGCTCACCAAACTCCTTGTGAAGGTAAATGCCCAATACTTAAAGGGAGTGTGTGCAGTCTGCCAGTTTGACCTCATTTTTCTGCTCAATTTGTGATTTAAAAAAATTACTTGAGTGAAGTTTATTGTTAAAATAAAACTATGTTAAATAAGATCAGAAAGTCTCTTTATTCAACTAGGCGAATATGTGTAGTATATTCAAAGACATCTTCTATCTGTAAAAAAGTGAAGTATTCCCTACGCTTCCAGGCTTTATAGATGCCCTGTGTAGAGGCTGATCACTAGGAAGGTATCATTTGAGATTATTAATGACAAGACATATTGTTTGATGAGAAGAGACAAGGATGGGAACTTGGTCACAGACTTTTATACTTTCTGAGTATCAAATCATATGACCTGAGAATGAGCAGTAGTCTCAATCATTGAAATAATTCTCATTTTTGGTTGACTTTAGAATTGCCTTTGCCTTTTGCTTCTTTCATTTCTAATCAGATTTATTTTTTAAAGCCCATTTTGCCATATAAAATTGGCCTTGGCCTGATAACTTCTAAGGTCTCTGTGTTTGTTATAATTATTAAACTGCTCATTCTTTACTAAATACTATAGGTTTTGCTCAGCTGTATCTTGACCTAATGATCTGATCTTAACATCTATGCTTAAAAATCTTTCAGTGTCTTCCCATTATCTACAGGATAAAACCCAAGCTGCTTATGTAGCAGAAAATCCAACGCCCTTTATGAGCCAGCTCTCTAATTTTTTTCAGCCACTCCTGTTACTTACCCATGTAAATGCTAACTCCTGCCTTTTCTGTTTACTGAGAACACCTTGCATGTATCATGTTTTCCTTTGCCTGCTTCATTCCATTGGTTCTAAATGATGAATTCCATTCATCTCTCAAGGTTCCACTCAGCAGACACCTGCAGACCACTCAGGATGTTTGTTATTCCCTCTTCAAGGCCCCTTGCCATCATATACATTCATTTGGCAATATCATAGCTGTTTTGTGCCAGCTCTACTAAGAGCTTTGAGTGTGTTGTTATTTTGTTACTGCCAGAACCCTATCTGGCAAGTACCATAATTATCCCCTTAGCGTATGAGCAAACTGAACCTCACAGAGGTTATTTGATCTGAGGTTACACAGCCAGAAGTGATAGGCAGAGCTAAGATTTCAAACAGGGTCTGCTTGGTGTTTTAGTGTTTGCTTTTAATGAGATTTGTAATTCTTTTCCTATACTGAAAAATTAAATTATTTGCCTGTCTGTCTCCAGAATATTTTGATCTTTAGGTTGGGGGAATATTTCCTAAAATTTTCTAGTTTCTGGTTTTGTGTCTAATACCTAGAAACTTTTGTTCAGTACATGATTCTTTGTTCTACACAGTGTAATATCTTACTTCATATCCGATGGCATTTCTTTGCAGGCTTATGGAGATTTTGCATGGAGTAATCCACTACATCCAGATATCTTCCCAGGGCTACGGAAGATAGAGGCAGAAATTGTGAGGATAGCTTGTTCCCTGTTCAATGGAGGACCAGATTCCTGTGGATGTGTAAGTGTATGCAAGTGGCATCTAATAATCTTTTCTTTTTAGCTTGAAATAGAAAATTTTATTTAAAATTTTTATTATAATAAGTGATTATTTTACAAAGATCCAAATTAACAGTGGTTTTAAAATACCTCTTGTAATTTTGTAATCCATAGCGTACCAGTATTTTGGCATGTATTTTTCTAGATATTTTTCTCTTCAGTTTTGTACTTTTGAGAAGTTTGAAACTTTAAATTGTTGCTAGAATAGTTTAAAGAGCACCCTAGTTTCACTAAATATATTTTGCCACGTCTGCTCTCTGCTCCTTTCTCTCTGTCCCTCTTTCATCCACCCACCTACTCACCCCCTTACAGTTTTGTTGAACCATCTTGTTTTTTTAATATACTTCTCATTTTATTTAAGTTGTATATCCACTTTATTGTTTTGCTATAAATCCAATCTCATTTAATTGAGCTGAACATTTACTTTATTATTTTGCTATAAATACAATCTCATTTTGTTGGTTTAGGAATGAAGGAAGAGGGGATCATTATATTTAAAGATACACGTTAGGATTGCTTGTTTCATCTGTTCTTTCCAGTAGATGTGTATTAGTGTTCCTAAACTGTGGTTGATAAACATTTGTTTAGATTTGTTACTACAAACTGATACTGTCTTCTCTAGAAAAAACTGAATCTCAGCTTATACAGGTTAGTTAAATTTAACCCAGTATGCTGTAATGGTAACCAAGAAGTCCTAGTCCTATCAGATACTTTTATAATCATTATGAAGTCTACAAACTTAATTATTGAAGGGCCCATCCAAAGACAAGGACATTTTGTAGTTACTTTTTATCCAGGAAGCAGTGTTGTCTTGCTTTTATGTTGGCACCATGAAAAATCAGCATGTTCAGATGTTTAGTAGCTAACAAAACTGATATTCTTGGCATTCATCCCTCAGGCCCCATCCCCCACCTCAGAATTCCAGAACTGTTAAAAACAACCCATCACAACCTAGCAGTGGGTTCCCTTACAGTATTTAGATGAATGAGTGACAGAGGGGAGATGACAGTATACTTAGAATATATATGTGTTCTGTGCCATTAGACTATGAACTATTAAGAGACCATAGATTAAACACAAAACAGTTTGGCTTTACCCAGTGAAGTTGAAGATATATGTGTCTAAAACTCTGAAATTCCACTACTCAGGATATATCCTAGAAAAACTAGTACATGTATATGTCAGGATAGATGTATATTCATAGCATTGTTCATGATACCTAAAAACTGGACATAATTCAAATGTCTATTGACAGTAGGTTGGATGCATTGTGCTTAGACATTAGGGTTAATACTATATGTGCTTCAATCCAATGTAGTTGTAATTCAGATTGTTCCTCAAATTACCCCATTGGGAGCCTCTTGTTTTAGGCTCCGGGGTCCTTTTGTATGACTCAAGTAGTCTTTGAAAGCTTCTTTCTTTCCTTTTTTTTTTTGAATCAAGGTATCATTGATATACACTTGTATGAAGGTTTCATATGAAAAACACTGTGGTTACTACATTCACAAATTATCAAGTCCCCCCAACACCCCATTATAGTCACTGTCCATCAGTGTAGTAAGATGCCACAGAGTCACTCCTTGCCTTCTCTGTGCTACCCTGTCTTCCCTGTGACCCGCCCCACACCATGTGTGCCAATCATAATAACCCTCAATCCCCTTCTCCCTCCCTCCCCACCCACCTCCCCACCCCTCCACTTTGGTAACCATTAGTCTCTTCTTGGAGTCTGTGAGTCTGCTGTTTTTTTACTTTTGGTACTTGTCTTTCTCTGCGTGGCTTATTTCACTGAGCATAATACCCTCTAGCTCCATCCATGTTGTTGCAAATGGTAGGATTTGTTTTCTTTTTGTGGCTGAATAATAATACTCCATTGTGTATATGTACCACAGCTTCTTTATCCATTCATCTACTGATGGGCACTTAGGTTGCTTCCATATCTTGGTTATTGTAAATAGTGCTGCAATAAACATAGGGGGTGCATATGTCTTTTTGAATCTGAGAACTTGTTTTCTTTGGGTGAATTCCTAGAAGTGGAATACTGGGTCAAATGGTATTTCTATTTTTAATTTTTTGAAGAACCTCCATATTGCTTTCCACAGTGGTTGAACTAATTTACATTCTCACCAGATGTGTAGGAGGGTTCCCCTTTTTCTGCATCTTGGTCAGCATTTGTTGGTCTTAGTCTTTTCGATGTTGGCCATCCTAACTGGTGTGAGGTGATATCTCATTGTGGTTTTAATTTGCATATCCCTGATAATTAGTGATGTGGAGCATCTTTTCATGTGCCTGTTGGCCATCTGAATTTCTTCTTTGGAGAAATGTCTCTTCATATCCTTTGCCCATTTTTTTTTTCTTTTTTTTTTTTTTGATAATTATTTTTTATTGAAGGGTAGTTGACATACAGTATTACATTAGTTTCAGGTGTACAACACAGTGATTTAACATTTATATACATGATAATTCTAGGTACCAGCTATCACCATACCAAGTTGTTACAATATTTTGACTATATTCCTAATGCTATACATTACAT